AAAGAATGGTCCTGAGAAAACGGAATGATCCTGCTCAGGTTCCTGACGAATTTATGAAGGCAAATGGGACGGGATTTAGCCTTTATTGACTCACAAACTTTGCTAATGCACTCCCTCGCCACCTATGTTGATCAATCATGACGCCCCCATATCCCTGCCAGCTTACCTCCCCGGTTATAAACCCGTCACTGTTTACAGTCTATAAACCATACCTGTCCATCTACCTGCCAATAGCAACAGCGTCGCATCATCTCCCAGACACAGACAGGCCCTTGTTGCACGCTGCTGGGAGGTAAACTAGAGGTAAACGAAGCAGCAGACACCATGGAAGAAGGGCACCGATTTTCAAAAGATCGCCTGCGCAGCTAGTGACAGGTTATTTTGAGCTTTGGTCTGAGGAACGAGGAGGCAGAGGGAAGGAGGGCTGCCCGAGAGGTCAAACAGTCGGGGTCGCTGGCGGGCTCGGGTGTGCTGGGAAAGTGCTCTTCCAGTCGCGTTCGATAGCTGGAAGAAACGGTGTCTTTAGTGCTCCTTCTGCTTGAGTTGGACTATTGTGATTTGGGAATTCGTTGTCTCAGGTAAGTAAATAAAAGTAAGAGCCTTATGCAGGATGGTTTCTCTTCCAAAAACTAATTCAATCAGCGAATGGCTCCCTGAATGAGGTGGGTCTCTAATAGCCGTTTTCACGACGGCCATCTGGTACACATTTGGTGCACATCTGGTACAGATTAGGTGCAGATTTGGTCAAATGGCGGTGTCTCTCTTAGCAGCTATCAGCTAGGGTTGCACTAATCGCTTATATGCCTGCTTTGTCATATTATCAGAGAGTATCATCGATTAAAACACTGAAATAAGTTCATAAAATGAAGATATTTGCTGTAAAAGAAATTAGGTGCAGATTTGGTCAAATCAGGTGCATTCGCCGGATAGCCCGTCGTGAAAACGGCTAATAACGATTCACGGACTGTAAATGCACCGAAAAGCATGGACTAATTCCTACTTTCGTTAAGTCAATGATTACGTATACGACACATATACCAACCAGTTCCCTTATATTTTTTCTTCAACCCCCCACCCTCACAGACCTGAAGATGCGTCATCGCTGGCATCGTCTGCTGCTGGCCCTACCACTACTCCTTCAACTAGCTGATGTCGGCGTCTGCCTGCCTCGACAATGGCCGGGGTTCGCCAATCACAATCACCTCTTCAAGCCGTTCAAACCGAAAAGGGCTCGGTTTGCTGCCCCTCTTCAGGGATTCTCGAATATATTTCAGGTGAGTTTATGTCATAAATATTGACGTACGGCCATTAAATTCTTTTTCTGATTTTGTGGTATGATTAAGGGAACGTTTGCACAAATATGTATTTATTCTTAGCAGCATGGTCATTATACTGGCTTCAATATGTTACCAGTGATTCAATGTACCCGCTCCAGCATGTTACCAAAAGGTATAAAGCTATAAATGCCAATTTCATAACCGACCCGTTTTTCAGACAAACGGGATCAATCGCTGGCCGGCCAATGGATTTCCGTCAATGCAGACAAAGGCATGGAATGAGTATCCGGGGGCACCACAACGGCTTCAGGTCAGTGTCACGTGTTCAACGGGTCAAGGTCAGGTCAGTGAAGGTCAGAGCATGCAGTGGTATTGGAACGACTGGTCAAGGTCGGGTCAGCGAAGGCCAGAATCGGTCAGTTACGCTACACGAACTATTAGAGAGATGAGATCAGGTCAGGTCAGGTGATTTGAACCTCCGAGGTAGTTACATTGTAGGTCAGTCAGATCAATGTAAATCTTAGTTACCTACTCTTTAATTAATCAAACCAGTGTTTCTGTTCGTTCGCTTGTGATGTGATGTGCTTTGAGCACAGGTGAAATGGTTTTTCCGGAGAGGCTGAACGCTGTGCACTAGTTATGTCAATTACAGAACATCTGAATACCGATACCAAACCAAATCCCACCATAAACCGTAAGGAAATACCGATACCGAACCAAATTCATAACATGAGGGAAATACCGACTTTTTACCAATTTCTCAGCCTTCTTATACATTAGTGAGGGCTCACAATACCAACAAAATATCAAGTACATTAGGATTGAAATACCAAATGCCAAGTTGGTATCGGTTTGGTATCGGTATACCAAAAAGCTGGTATCCGATTGACATCTCTACTGTGCACCATATGAGTAAAGGTGACGTTACGATCGCGTTTTTCAGTCTCAAACTGAGACTGAATGCGTTTTTTTTCTGAATGAATGAATGAATGTATGAATGAATGGATGAATGAATGAATGAATGAATGAATGAATGAATGTATGTGTATTCATTTGAACGCCTCTGTTTCAGCCGATCCCGCTGGCCCGTAACCACTACCATCACGGCTACCTCACTGCCCCACCGAGTCCCGCTCCGACCCTGCCGCCACCGACACGGCGACATCGATTTGTCCCTGCCAGCAGCATCCAGTACGGCAAGGTAAGTAAGCGTTGATTCAGTTTTGACTGTCTTGTCTTGACCGTCGTGACAATGGCGATAAATCAACCCTTTAACGGCTAATTTGTCGTTAAATACTCAAGGAATGCGATAAAATATATAAACTAGCATGATGCGGAAAGCAACAATCATGACGGTATGGATGCGGGAAGAACAGCCAGAAAAGCCAATTGGCATCAGGGAATGATGACATATTCACGTATGTTGACATGTATGTATGGGACTTGCAAACAAATCTTTTATAATTTTGCCGGCCACTGGCAATAATATGTCTATCAACTTGTCCGTCAAAGTCCTCAGATAAAGTACCACCTTCTGATATCGTTTATCGGCTTTCTCGTCGACTTCTTCACCCTCTGGCCGTGCGCTTTTCATCCCCCAGGTCCCCACTCACTTTATGACTGACGCTGAACTCCACGGTCTAGTCTGCGTCCCCGCCTCGGCTCTCGGCTCAGCGCTGGCCGAACATCGTGATCACGTCACGCACCATCGTGACGGCAGTGTCACCACTCACCGCACGGTGGTGGCTGGTTCGGACGGCACCACCAGCCACAGCACCAGGATCACCAGTGCCGGACGCAAAGGAACGGTGGTGGAGACGAGAACGAATTCCAGCTCGGGCGTGCAGAGACACAGGCAGAGCGTTCAGGATACGGGCACTGGACTGGTGCGGACGTCAACAGGTTAGTGAGGGTGCTATCGCAGAATCACAGGTCAAAGACCGTCCTAGGCGTACTTATGATTCCTCTACGGGTGAATAGCCTCGCCATATTTCGCGACAGCGCGAGAAATAACTACTTCTGGGCAGCAAGAGCCCATAGGCTAGTGATGAAAATGTGAACATCTTCAAGTCACTATAAAAAAATAGCAGTGCCAACAAGAGAAGCGAGTGATGGCAACGACTTTAACTGCAGTCCCCATATGCTTTCGTCCTAGTCCCCGGTATACATTCGGCAGGTTCGGCGTTTTCCGAGGGCAGGTCGGGCCTGCCCAGCCACGCTGACGTCATAACGTCTTCATCTTCTGAGGGCAGCAATAGCCAATCACGAGCCTCGGCCTCGGGGTATGACGTGAATGGGGAGCCTCTCCCAGCCAGGTATGTACTGCTCATCGCTGTTCCGGTGCGTTTACGATCAACTGTATGCATCAGATCCGTTCTCACGTAGTAAACCATAGTTATAGAATGTCATATTGAAATGAGATATTTCTTATAAGTGCATAATCTAGCCAACAATAATGTTTGTCAATGACAGATTGCTTATGCTGATAAATGTTTTCTAGCTAGGCATCCTTACGTACTTCTTAGCTGAAAAACTCACGAATGCTGGCGAACTACATCAATGCGGAGTCTCACACACATCTTTGGTTAACCATGAACTAAATGCCAAATGGCCCTTGTCGCCAAAGCGTCCTTCATCATCAACTATGAGCTAAATGCAGCACTACTGACTGACAATTGAATAACCACATAGTCACCGTTTGTTTCTTTTCCCAGGTCGGTCTCGGAGTCAGCCAGCCAAGGTCTGGGTGGACCGAGCATCCCGGTGCTTCCTCCTATCGAGTCCCTTTCCTGGCATCCATCGGAGGTGCCAAAAACAAGAATACTCAGAGGTCCACTCAGGTTCTCCGGTGGCCCAGGTGGAAAGGACATCGGTGACCTTGATTTCTCGGCACAGTATGATGCTGGCCCTGGTGATCTGGAGAGTGAAGAGGATGCTTCTTCGTCAGAGGAGGAAGCAGATCCAGAAGGTGATGAGCAGGAGTCCGAGGAAGATCAATCATCTGAGGGTGAAGAAGAATCCGAAGAAAATGACATTGATTCGCTGAAGAGAATTGAGGGCGAACCGACCTCGTCGTCAATAGACTATTTACTACCACCTTACTCAAGTGAACCAAGTTCGCCTGGTGACAATGAAGGAGCTGCTGATGACGATGACGCTGGAGATGGTGACGTTTCCCAGGATGACGACGCATTGGAACAATCCGAAGACTCGACGACGCTCGGAGACGATACCAAAGCACAGGGCGACGGAGATGGAAGAGACGACGACGATGATGATGATGATGATGATGATGATGATGATGATGATGATGATTAGTTACGACAATCTTCATACGTTGGCTTCCTTGTGGCAATCAAGGTGTACGCATTGTTGAAGTCGTGATGCTTGACCTGATTTCTAGATGCGTATTTAATCGGTGCTGTGAGCGCTTAACACACATAGAGATAGGTCTGTTTTATGTCTGTCCGACTTCGGACACCGATTTCGTATAGTCCTACTTTACGCCGATAAAGGCTTTGTGCCGTGATATGCCGTCGATTTAGCTTGGCTTTAGCTGTAGTCAGTGGCCAGATGGTGTTAGCAAACAATACCTACTAATTGTAAAAGCATCACGTAGCATGACTGGAATGTCCGAATTGCTAATGGTGCTATTAATTTCGACGCTGGAGCTTCGGCGTCGGTGTTTGCTTTGTAACTTTTTATGCTAGTACATACATGTGATTGTTTCTAAATGTATTTGCCGTAGGAGTGCTTTCTAGAAAACATGAGGTACCTATATTCATGTTCAAATCATGTATTTTTTAAGATGGACGCACGATCGGTCCACGCACTGTGCTAAAGCTGCAACTTCCACAGAACATTTATCGTCAAGATACAATACGAAACTACCAGAGCGCACACATTTTCCACAGGAATCAGAAAAGATCATAAAATCTGACGACCCGATGGAGCTTTTAAGATCATGTGATGCTGCTTCTAAAATGTGCGTTGACAAAATGTATCTAGAATATATTTTATGCCATTACTGATATATTGAAAGCAAGCTCACCTCCGTAGCGCTAGCTATTACAAAACGAACCCGCAACCGGAGTCCCCACACAGCTATACCTAATGCCTCAAAGTTCCTTCCACTATAGCCAGTGCGTGCACTATCAGCCAATTCACAAGCACCACCCAAGACCGTGAAACTCTTAAGGCCGCCGTCCACTGCGACGGAATTCCGTCCGGAGTCCGTCCGGAATGTCGCCGCACGCTGGCCGCATCCGGTCCGGATGCGGTCCGGATGCGGTCCGGATGCGGAGAGCTAATAAATGTTTCCTTTCACTTATTACCAAATAAAATATTGCAAGTAACCAGCAGCGAATACTCTTGCCATTCTAAGGAAATAATTTTTACTTACTTCATGATGATCGAGTTCCAATTCTTCGTCCAATTCACAATGTTTGCCTCCGATACGGCCCCAAACCACGTCTGTTCCGGACGTTCCGGATGCGTTTTCCGCAGAAAAGTTCAACGCGTCGGACATCACTCTTCCGTCTCCGTAGCAACCGCATCCGAAACGCATGCGGAGAGCTGACGGAAAATCAACAGCTGATTGCCGTTCGGATGCGGTCCGGACGGAGCGCACACGATTTCCGTACGGACCGGATGCGCCCGTAGGGTTCTGTGTTAAATTCCGTACGGACCGCACGCGTTCCGCACAGTGGACGGCGGCCTTTAGACTCATGTGATCACCGGTGGTTGCGGTTGCTTCAGCTTCCAGTTCAGGATGAAGCCGAAGACCTACGGCAGCGGCTGGTGGTTGAGGATCTGGTTGTTGATCCAGGTGCTGAAGTAGGTGACATCCACGTAGACACCGGGAACGTTGATGGTGCCGCAGCCGATGCCCCAGGCGACGATGCCTCGCAGGATGTACCTGAAATCGAGGTAGGAATGTATGTTAGTCGAATAATGAGTTGCCAGCTTCAACACACATACGTAAACGAATTTAGTGCGAAGTAACAGAAAGGTCCATTCATGATGGTAAATGCTGAGAAGCATTCCTTGATGTTGTACTTAGGGACACAATTTGCAAACAGAACTCCATGAACATGTAACTCAACCGATCTTGAAAAGGCTGAGTGTGGCTGTTTGAGATAGTGTGACTGACGGTTGTGTTGTGATATTTCGTGGGATTAGTTCATCCGTTTAGGTCGCAGATCTTTCTGTGTTGGCGGGGTTTCTGGGGTCTGGGCGGACTATCCGACCTGTCTGAGATGCTGAGCTGTCTAGCTTGTCTGGATATCTGAGCTGTTTGACCTGTGGGACCTCACTAACCTGTCTGGGTTGGTGGGATCCGGACACACCAGTGGGGATCCTCCGTCTCCAGTACAGGTATCCGCACCGTTTCCTCCAGCACACAGAAAACTGCGGTCCAGGATGAACCGGGAACCGAGACGGGTCGCCCTCAACTGGTTCTGGAAGCACAGCAAACAGATGTTCAGAGCACATAAATCGGAGGAACTGTTTCCAGCTCTAGGCAACTAACATTGAACCGCAACTAAGTGCTATTCAATGTTATTCAGTCTATCCTGAACGTTTACCTATTTTAAATTTTCAAGCATTGGCTTTGACAGGAAGCGAATAACTAGACTGAATAATGCATTCGGGGTGATGCTCCAGGACAAAGGGTGCCGAGAAAGCCCTCATCAATGACTTCTATCGCCTCCTAACATGGCCAGCAATTCCCTGGCCGACACATTTCCGTCCACCTCCTTGGATCTCCCACATCCACATGTTCTCCGGGGATTGGTGGACGTCAACACCCCCACGTCCACACCTCCATGTCCACGGCGCATACCCTCCACCCACAAGTCCCACATCGGCATGTCCTTCCTAGACCCCCTCACCTGGCACGTGCCGTGGTTGACCAGTGGCAGGGCGACCTGTTTCAGCACCAGCTGGAACTGGCCCTGCTCGAAGCTGTCCTTGCCCCAGCCGGTGGCGAAGCAGTTCTCTCCGTACACTGGCTGACTGTTGGCCTCGGGAAGGCAGATGGTGTCGATGTGCTCCTGGAGGTGAGAAGGGGATGGCGTCTTCCTAGTTAGTATTTGCCAGAAGTGAGATATGATCCCCCACGTCTGGAGAGAACCCACGGGTTGCGACTTGAACGAAGCCCCGTGTCGTAGAACGAGCGAACTCCAGTCATTCTCGTTAGGGCTTAGATGCAGGAATCCTATCTGCACTCTTCGAAAGTAATAAATATATGAATATGTCATTGCTTTGTTCTACGTTGAGACTCGAACGTTTCGAAACGGGCCCATGTCGCTACTACCACATCGAACAGTGGTTTGTTATAGGAAACGATGAATGTTAAGCGTTGTCAACGTCAACGACCATCAGCGTTATCAGCGTTGTCAACACAACACTTGTTCTCTTCATGCGCTTGATGTTTCCCGGCTCACCGAGCCCTCAAAGCTCCCCAGACACCACAAACCTGCAGGGGGACCTCTCCGTTCAGGAAGAGCAGCGCGATGTCGTTGTGGAGGTTCTGGCGGGCATGATTGTAGCCCTCGTGGACGACCACGCTGACGACATCAGCGTCCAGATGGGGGTAGAACTCGGTAGTGTGCTGGGTGTCCCACTCACCCAGACGAACCACAAGGTTCGTCTGACCGTACACGCAATGAGCCGCCGTGGCGAGAACCTGAAATGGAAGCGAAGTTAGCATCGCACTTCTACATGTACCGAGTTGTAAGACTTGATATGTATCGAAAAGCAATGAGATCCAAACGTTGTGACACCAAACGATAAAACGTCAACATGACAACCATATCATAAACAATTAACGTATTTTACTAAAGAGGTACAATGCATTTTATCGCACTGCATCGTCTTTCTTTCATTTTCCTCAACGCTCAAAGATCCACGTTTCATCGCCTGTCTTAGATGTGTAATGCCTGAGGAAGAAACTCTACGCGAAACTTTTGTCGATAAAGCAGAATAACCTCTACCAAGCTAAATCATTTGACATGAGGACGTGAAGTCTTAGGGACGTGAGAGCGTGAAGACAACGAATATGACGTAAGGACACATCCGAGGAAGCGTGACTTCCTGTTCCTCCTCAACTTCCAAGGAAGCGTCCTTACGTTTGTGCCGATGAGGGACGCTCCACAGAGGAACACCAGTTTGCCGCCGTCCTCCTTCAGTACAGCGGCCATCCACGGGTACTCGCCAAACTGGGCCTCGTTCTCCTGAATACCTGTCAAAAAGAAAAATGTCAAAAGTTTGTTAATTTCGAAAAAGGTCCAGTAGGTAAGTTCATCTTGCTTTTCAAGAACCATACGATAACAGCAAGTGGCGCAGCCGCTTGTTTTCTCCTAAATTAACGTAAACTACCACGTCGTTATACAATATACAGGCGTGCACAGACGTCTCCTAACGCCACCTACCGACAATGCGAGCGTGAATTCCGAAGGCGTTTCTGCGGCCGCAGACGGGCTGGTAGGGTTGTTTGATGGGCTCAGGGATGACGGGTACCCTCTGAGGGTCTGCACAGCACACAGACGTGTACTGCTCCTTGCAGTCCGAGTGCTGGATGTGCTGGTCGCCACCGGTTCCCCCGAACCTGACGGCGAATCAGTGGAAACGTCAGGACGAAAACATGGCCAGAAGCGGGCGGACATATCAATTTGAGCACCAAGACGGTTCGACGAGTACGCCTAAGCACTAAGCACTAAGCACTTTAAAAAATGGCAGCCCAAGCAAAAATGTTATCCCAACCGGAATGTCAATCTCGGAGTCAAGCTGAAGACGACGCTTAATCGCCGTAAATGGATAAGTAAGCACGCGCAGATACCTACTGAACAGTGAATAGCTACGCATGAAATTGAGCGCTGTAAAAAAGCGGCATTACATTTGTTTCATATCGACCTCTTGACTAAACCACCCCAGAAAAAATTACCGCTGTTTTTGTTGAGTCATAGCATCGTGTTATCAATAGCATTAGTGTGATGACTTAGGGTGACCGGTTTTGCAAAAAGTTTCGAAAAGTTTTGCTCCCCAGGTCTAATCTAACGTATTTGGGGGTGCTGATCACGAATCCAGCGGAAAAAATATAAAATTCGAATTTTTTTTGACCGCCCCGGCCCTTTGAATATTTCCGGTTTTCTCAATTTTTGCATGTTTTTGAATAATATGATGAATGTAATGAAAAAATATTAACAATGTATCGCTAAATGCATGTACCAGTCGATTCGGCATACAGCGGCGTCGAAATCGGCACGCCGCCTGCTTCACCGGCCTCGCAGGAAAGCATAAGTCTCGGAAGGTTTGCGTTAGTTACCCGATTCTCTCCATAGATGGCGCTGGCGTAGCCGCCCGCCGGTCGGTCGTTGCCGTGCCGTTCACAGCCCCGGCGGTCACTTGCGACCGTCGTGGTCGTTATGCTACGTCTATCAAAGCACGACAGAAATGTTCACTTCATTTTTATGTTACTTCAGACATATTTTAGACCTAATGTTGAATTGGATAAATGACTATCGTGAATTGGCGAAATAGTGGAGTGCGCTCGGGAGCCATTTACAATAGCGAGGAACGTAGGTGGATTGATCTGAGTAACATATGACACTGCGTTCACTGTTGATATGAAGTTTATTCACACTATGTAGTCGGGTGACATGAGAACAAAGTGACTAACATACCTTGTGTACGACACATGGATGAAGCTAATGCTACTTTTTCATTTTGTTTCGGTAGGCCCGTTTGTTCAGAGCGTAGCCGTCCTGTCGGTCTGCGCCTGTTACAGCTGTGACTGATTCGGTGGTTAGCTTTACAGCCCTTTCGGTGGATTGGGTATGGCAGGGGACCCCCGTTTTAAGGGGAGTCTGTAGAAAGTCGCGCAACTCATCCTCGCTCATGTGTCGTACACAAGGGGGCTCAATGTCTCGGCCCTCGTCAACCGCTCGCTGCACGTTAACCAGTTCCATATAGTTGTTCGCTTGAACGTTAATTTCCGGCAGCCGGAAGTGCCGAATGGGCTGCTGCTGTGGCGGTGGGGGTGGCAGCTTTGGCGGCGGTCGTGGCGGCGGTGCCGGCGGCGGCGGCGGTGGTGGTGGTGGTGGTGGTGATGGTGGTGGTGGTGATGGCCGCCGCCGTTTCAGACGCGTGTGCCAGCAGCTGCGCCGCCAGCGGCTGAACTTCACAGGCGAGTCGCTGGCGTGCATGCAAAGTAGCGTCGAGAGGAATGCTTACATGGCTCATGAGGAAAATGTGCTGCTCGCCATGCTCGGCGATGAAAATCATGGCATTAGGGCAGATGCAGTCCGCATAATCCAGAGCATTCGTCAAAAAAGGCAGCGACAGGAGAAGCCGCCGTTCCCGCCCCCGCCACAGCAGAAGCAGCGGCGACAGAGGCGGCGGCCATCGCCACCACCACCACCGCCACCGCCGGCGCCGCCCCCGCCGCCGCCGCCACAACAGCAGCAGCGGCGTCTGAAACGGCGGCGGCCACCACCACCACCACCACCACCACCGCCGCCACGACCGCCGCCAAAGCTGCCACCCCCACCGCCACAGCAGCAGCCCATTCGGCACTTCCGGCTGCCGGAAATTAACGTTCAAGCGAACAACTATATGGAACTGGTTAACGTGCAGCGAGCGGTTGACGAGGGCCGAGACATTGAGCCCCCTTGTGTACGACACATGAGCGAGGATGAGCTGCGCGACTTTCTACAGACTCCCCTTAAAACGGGGGTCCCCTGCCATACCCAATCCACCGAAAGGGCTGTAAAGCTGACCACCGAATCAGTCACAGCTGTAACAGGTGCAGACCGACAGGACGGCTACGCTCTGAACAAACGGGCCTACCGAAACAAAATGAAAAAGTAGCATTAGCTTCATCCATGTGTCGTACACAAGGTATGTTAGTCACTTTGTTCTCATGTCACCCGACTACATAGTGTGAATAAACTTCATATCAACAGTGAACGCAGTGTCATATGTTACTCATATCAATCCACCTACGTTCCTCGCTATTGTAAATGGCTCCCGAGCGCACTCCACTATTTCGCCAATTCACGATAGTCATTTATCCAATTCAACATTAGGTCTAAAATATGTCTGAAGTAACATAAAAATGAAGTGAACATTTCTGTCGTGCTTTGATAGACGTAGCATAACGACCACGACGGTCGCAAGTGACCGCCGGGGCTGTGAACGGCACGGCAACGACCGACCGGCGGGCGGCTACGCCAGCGCCATCTATGGAGAGAATCGGGTAACTAACGCAAACCTTCCGAGCCTTATGCTTTCCTGCGAGGCCGGTGAAGCAGGCGGCGTGCCGATTTCGACGCCGCTGTATGCCGAATCAACTGGTACATGCATTTAGCGATACATTGTTAATATTTTTTCATTACATTCATCATATTATTCAAAAACATGCAAAAATTGAGAAAACCGGAAATATTCAAAGAGCCGGGGCGGTCAAAAAAAATTCGAATTTTATATTTTTCCGCCGGATTCGTGATCAGCACCCCCAAATACGTCATATTAGACCTGGGGAGCAAAACTTTTCGAAACTTTTTGCAAAACCGGTCACCCTATGTGACCTTAAATAAATGCAGTCACTTTCACATCAACTTAAGAGGTCACCTGAGGTCGATGACGCCGGCTCCATCAGTGACGATCTGTCCGTCCTCACACAGATAATAGGGCACGCACGACTTTCGGCCGTTGTCACATGGAGGGTACTGCCAACACACATGCAGAAACGCAGTTATTACACGGGAGAGAACATGCAACGCAGATCAGGGAAAACCAAAGTGATATGAGGGGTAATGGCCTGGCGCGTCGCCATCGTTGGGGGCCCAAACGTCTCAAAACAATTAGGCACTGTAATAAATTGAAAGGTAAATAATAAACAATAGATTATGTCGATAAACTACCAATATAACATGAACGTTCACATGAATATTATGAAATTAAAGAGAGACATCCTCGACTTCTTTGAATGCATTCAAGTTATTCATGAAATTTATATGTATTTCACAAAAACAAGATAAGAAATCCGAGGTAGCTTATCTCTCGGTCAGGAGGTACCTCTTGTGCCCAGTGGAAAAGAGCTCTCTACCCGATCATTGTCTGAAATCTTACCTCTCCATCCGCCGGGGGTCCTTGTCCTCCCCCTTGGCCCCCGATCTGCGGGTCGACCCCAGTGCTACCACCCGTGCCGAGGGCCGCATCGATGAAGCTCTGATCTTCGGCACTGAGCTGGGCACTGGCCATCCCCAGCCAGGCCAGCAGGAGCACGGCGCAACGCATCGTGATCGGCCGGGGTCAATCTGGAATGGAGTGATGTGCTCAACTAGTTACAGGCTCTTAAAGGGCTTGTGCTATCTAGCGTGTGCTGTGCTTAATTTAAAAAAAAAATGTATGGTCGTCGAAGTTTTAATCTAATTAAACGAGCAAAGTTTACACATTTGATATGCGATATCAGCAGTCAGCACACAATGAAATACCGGTGAAGACGATATATTTTGCGAGGGAAGGGCTCGAATTATCTTCCTGTGGCTCACATCTCGCCAAACTTTGGGGCTTTGTCAACTTCCGATTTCTGTTCAATTTGCTCTCTAATGTACGGTTTGATTTAATTGTTTGTTATCGTGCATGCTGTATTCAACATTGTCACATAGAATATTTCTGTTTGACAGTAACACATCTTCCAAAGCTGGCTCATGATTCGTTACCACAGCCTTAGCTTATAGACTTGCATGCCTGAGCCCGGCCCTATGTTAAAGGCTCGACACCTGATTTGCAAGCCTCCCTTCCGTGACATTAATTTTGTAGTCGGCTCGAGGCGTGTGCCTCCTAATAGGATGTAATGTTGCGTGAGACGGGTCGTTCGTTGGACTTCCCTCCCCTCCCCTTTCAACATATTTTCCGGCAAGATAGGATACAGTTACATAATTCGGTTTACTCGAAAACAAGTTTAATCTCGAGCTGCTTCTTGCAGCCTGCTTGTTAACCCTCGCCCATGTAGGGGGGGAGGGTTGGTGCAACCCCCCCCCTGAGGTTTTTCGGAAATAGTGCAAAAACGGCGTCGCGCAGCGCCGCCAAATTTTGGGTACCTTATGGGGCAAACCTTGCGCATCTTTTGATAAAAAAATTTGACCGGGTCATGTCAGGTCACGGAGTTATGACGTCACAAAGGGAACAGCCTCCGGCCGGATTTTCACAAACTGAGTGCCAACGCCCGAGGTTTCCTGCCGGTGGTACGGACATGGGTTGATGGATCGTGATGAAACTTCCCATGCATGTTGGGGCAAGTATTGGCTATCATATGGTATAAGAAACTTGACCGGGTCAGGTCAGGTCACGGAGCTATGACGTCACAAGAGGAACAGCGTCCGGTACTATTTTTGAAAAGCGCCCGAACCACTATTTTGCTAATTCTTGTCACCTCAATGGGAATATGCAGCAATATTAGCTTCTATAGGGAGCAAATGGACCTCCCAAATCCAAAAATACAATCAGATTTCAAAAATTTAAATTTTGATTTTTCGAATTTCTGCCGCCGACTGTGACCTTGCCGACTTCCGGCGCTCCCAACGCGCCATTTTTAGAGCTAGGGAAACGAAATACATACCAAACGATAGAGAATTGATCAAGGAACACGATAGTGAAGGTTTCAAGTCGATATCTCCCACCGTTTTGCCGCAATCGCCGCGGAAAGTTGAAAAAAGTATATTTTTCCGAAAATTTGACCTTTGACCGGTCAAAAGTAGGTCAAATGTTGACCTAGGACCAAAAAATAAACCACCAATCGCGAGATCTCGTTGAGAGCAATCCGTTGGTTTTTTCCGCTAAGCTCTACGACGCTCCGTTTTCAAACGCCAAGGGGGGGGGGGTCGCACCAACCCCCCCCCCCTGCATGGGCGAAGGTGGCAGATCGCCGTTTACGGGCGAGGGTTAAGGAACACCGTTTGAAAAATGAAGAAGGCTGTTCTAACGTGAGGAGCACCGGCTGAGGAGGAGCAAATACTCTTGGGGAAGAGGATACACCGTACGACGGTAGAGGAGCAATGTAAAACGAAAAAGATGCATCGTTTAACGGAGAAGGTACGCCTTTTGACGGAGTCGTCAAAAAAAGACGCCTCAAGCCTTTTAGAGGACACCGCTATATCATTTGATCAGAGGAAGCATGGCGAGAGGCCAATCGTCTAGCATAAAGGAACTAATTCCTTCAGAGATAAAGGTTCACCGCCTGGTCAATAGGCAACTCAATGTTTGCATATATTTGCATGGATAACATAGACACATCGGTCACAGGGTAATGCCACAAATGGCAGGCGGCAGGCCTCTCAAAATCCCAAAGCAGGCCTCTAGCTTGTACTCATTAAAATTCCTAGCAGAAATATTCCATTGTATAGGATACGTCAACAAGGGCTCCGTCAGTGCCACTAAGTAGCACAGGTAAACTAGCCATTGTAGCTGTGCCCTACTTATCGCTGACGAATATAGATGACTTTGATATGACTATATGTATCAGCATGTCACTTGTAAGTATGCTTTACATACGGCGACATTTACTAGTACGTAGCTCCAAAAGGAAACGCTGCAGGCAAAAGCGAATTTTAGCGTGTATCAAAGATCGCCTATCTTTATCAAAACTAGGCAACTAGCCATATTTTTACGTCTACCTACAATGTCTCTGGAATCAGACACTCGCATGTCGCATGTGAAGCCTACCGGGACCCTTGGCCGAAGGCCTGGACCCCTGGCCTGTCCGAGAGACCGGTTTGAAGCGCGGATTTTCCATTGTGCCGAGTCGATCTGCCGAATGCGGTGGCGTTGACCTTGGGAAGACTGCCGGTATAGCTCTCTGCCCTTGCGTTACAGCGTTGGTCAGGCAGTTCAGAACTGGCTTCAAGCTATGGCAGAGGCTACTCTGCCGAGTACCGACAGTATATTGGAGGTCAAGAGTGCTCGTCCTAGTTTGACTATCAAGCAGGGGCCGATTGAAGAGACCTATTTAATATTCAACACGAGTAATATACCTACCACTGCGGCTCGAGACAGGATGGACGAAAGCAGCATGGACAAAGGACATGAGCATAACATTATTTATAGCGGATCTTATAAGCACTTGACAATGCATTGTCATACCTATGTGACGACACGTGGTGGCTCCCTGACCGCTGTTAGCTAACTTTTTTCAAGGGTGCCACCCGACTGAAGTTTAAAAACTACGACAAAATGCAGCGAATAGATGCAAAGCTACAATGACCCATCAAAATTCATCAAACATTTCAAAAAACTCCCGGATTGCGCTACTTTCGGGTTGGTGTGTTATTTAAAGAAAGACGACAAAATCACGTCCAATTCGGACGTTTGCGGGAGGGAAAATTATTCCAGATTGAGATGCTCCCTCCTCCTTGGATAGACCAGTGCTGAAGGACGAACAAGATAAACGTCCATCAATCGAATGCCAATCATCACATATTATCTGCTCTGACGGCCTATTGTTTTCATCCTGACCTTGACTGGCAGACTATCGCAGTTTTCATCTCAGCGACAATAAAAAGTACCACTCAGGCTCAGAGGCACTTACATTGTGGTCTCCAAGGTAATGATTGAAGGCGATTACGGGAATGATTTTCTTGGAGTGCCATGAAATGAAAGCAAGGGATGGTAATTATCAACAACCATACAAAGATATTCAGGCGATTTTCATCTGTAAAATTGTCTCATGCCTAGGTCGTCGATCCTTTTACCAGGTACTAAAAAAGGTAACATCGATTTACTAACATACAAGACATCTAGACATAGGCGTCGCCAGAGATTTTCGGTTGGGGGGGGGGGGGCAAAATCAACTTTTGTGTTAAATCTTGGCTTTCTCCAGTCGTTACTCATTCATTTTACATATCATTCGACGCGTAATGGTGCGAGGAATACGATGGTGACAAGGTTTTCCTTCTAGCTATGACATGCCATTTTTTGCAGAAAATTCAAAATTTTGAAATTTTGGACAAAAACAAGACCGGTAGAATCACAATGGCTGCGATTGCCAACGCACTCTAGAGCCCCCGTTCAGAAGCTCGTCTCTCATGATCATCACCCAGAAAAAAAGGTTAAAAACGCTCAGTAATCGAATCACCTTGCTGAAACCTTCATTCACGCATGCATGCAGTCGCAGAGGTTCTACATGAAATGCATAGGGCTCATCCCAGCCGCCGATAGCTAAGTTGGGCTTTCGGCGGAGATTGAATGTCGGAACTCACGGAAGTGTGGATCGGAAGTACCTAATTCATCTTTGCTTCAGTGAGAGGAGGTATTTTGTTCACACGGGAGTGTGAACAAAAAGTTTTTCGTTTTTCGTGTGTAGGGAAGCGCTGCAAATGCGAAGAAAAGATAACCGAACCAAAATTTCGCACGGCATAGCGGCAAGGGATCCCTTAGCGACAGGCTTGGGACTTCCAGGCCATTTTAGGCCACTCAGGGTCAGTGTGGGCTCTCAGAAGCCTGCTTAGGATCCTGAAGATCGGCGTTGGTCACCCCAAATATAGTAGTTACGTGTATGTGGTGCTTTAGGCCTTTCCGAGCCCAAGGTGGGGCCCTCAGAAGCCAGTGTGGGCGGCGGGCGCTAAGAGACCAGGCCCAGGGTGAGCCGGGAGCCCTCAGATAGCAGTGTGAACCCTGGAGGTCTGTGTCGAATCCCTAAGGACCCTACATAGGGACATAAGAAACATGTGCTGGGACCCTCAGAGGCACACGTGAGTTGTGCAAAATCTGTCGCCTCAAAAGCTCGGCTGAGCTATCAGAGGTCTAAGGTTCTCAGAAATTTTTGAAAGTATTATCAAAGATGCGTGTGGCCCTTCAGAGGTCTACGCATGTGTAAGGTCCTCAAAGATCCCTGTATGGGCCCTCAGAGAACATGGACACCATTGGGACTCTCAGAGGCCGGTTTGGGCCCTCTGAAGGCTTCTTAGAGCTCAGTGGAGCTCCTTCGGAGCTTGTGTGAAAAGCAAGCTCATGAGCCCTGTGGCACTTGAACGGTACTTGAGTCTGTCGCAGACATTTGACGAGAGTTAAGAAGGCCCGAAAATTTAGTGTCACACTTAGAACGGAAATTTTGTGTCAGCACTTCAAACTTATGAAAATCGGCTATAAAATGTAGGGGAAGTTGGGGCAATGCCGGAGTTGGGGCAAAGCCGAAATTCGAGATATTTCGAAAACCGTAAGACATGGATGCCACCTGTCAGTGATGCTCTGAAGCTTAGGTGACTACAATTATCGCATGTTTGTTACGAGTCGTCATTCGGAATACTTCGGCTGTGAGGGCGCCAAGAGCGTTTTCAAGGTACGCGTTCCTTGTACTACATGCGCCTTTGAAGCTGCATTTCTTACTCATTATGCTACCGTTTGTCTGGCCAATTCGGTCAAGTAATCTTCGGCATGTCTTTGCATAAGTGTGCTGCCTATTTGAAATTTATACGGCACGTTGAAAAGTTATGGGCCTGCAAATGAAAGTGTGGCTGGCTGGGGTAATGCCGAAAACGTGCAATTACGCACGTTAAAGCACGCTACGTGGACTTTACTGCTCTAGAATAGCAACGCGAATTTTTAGTCACACAAATTACACTTTCAACGGACACAACGGCCTGTTACCTATAAGGAATTATTTACCTGGCATTTTCTTATTATATCACACAATTATAACTTCCAGTGTGCACCAAGCGTCCTCAAGCTCTTAAAACGCGTGTCAGCTTTGATAAATTCTGGATAAAGTTTGAGATAAAGTGGCAAAACATCAATGTCGGCATTCCCCGTAGATCATTTCTCCCATTTTCGGCTTTCCCCGCAGTCCGGGGCAACGCCGAAAAAGTCACTTCTTTGATATTTTTAGTTTGTGCGCTTAACGGTATGCGAATTCATCAAATGCGCCTGGTATGTTTGAAAGGCAAAAGACTGGCCTCTCGAATGACGCCAACAAGAATAGCTTATGTTGTCTACCTTGCGTGCTACGGGCGTCAGAAAAAAAGTATTCGGCGTTCCCCCAACTTCCCCTAATAAAGAACCAACTAGGAACATGGAATGAATCACAGTATTGACATTCCCGAGTCTGGAATCGGCGTCGTGAAGATTTTGGCGACTGCGACTCCGACTCTGGCCTGAACCACCCTTCAACCGAGTCTGACCTCACAGGCATTCTCAGAAAGGTACCCCCATTTTTCCCGACTCCAAAATCTCATCGGATCTGTATCGATCTCAGGGGGTGCCCGGTCCGAGGTTGGGGGGGCAAGCTGCCCCGCTTGCCCCCCCCCCCCCGTGGCGACGCTAATGCATCTAGAATATCACAAAAGTATTATCTAAAATAAATTTTGTTTTTGTTAACTCTTCATAGCATAACAACATCATTTAGCCCGCGCCCCGTAGGGGGGGGGGGGCGAAACGCCCCCCCTGTCCTTTTCGGTCGATATCTCCTAAACGGCTGGAGATATCGCCACCAAACTTTCAGGACCCCTCCGGGCATCAATTTTACACATTGTGACCAGAAATTTTTCCAGAGGCTATGATAGGTTGGCCACAAATGACGTCAGAGTGACGTCATGTTCTGTCATTTTCGACCGAAAAAAAGACCTTCGCGAGTAGACCTGTCAGGACTACAGCTTTGAAGATACAGAAAAATGATCAAAACATAAAGGTGTAGATTGACAGGGCTACAAAACTGCTATCTCGAATTTTTGAAATTTTTGAGTTTTGACCCCCAAAAATCAAAAAAGCATTTTTTTGGATATATTCGCCAAAAAATCAAAAAAAAAATTTGAGTTTCGAAAAAACCGGAATATATGTGATAGTGCCTACCGTCTTCTATCTACATACCAAATTTCAGATCGATACCTCGTTTTTTGGCCAAGTTATAGCGAAAAAACTGTTCAAAAATGATGACGTCAAATTTTCAAACTCAATTTTTGGCAATTCTAGAACTCGTAGAGCAAAACGAAGACCACCATTAAACTCCCCGTGACGAGCTGCATCGAATCGATACCCATTTTATGCAAAAATATCAACTTTGAAATTTGACCTAATTTGACCTGACCTTGATCTGACCTTCACCAAAACGTGACCTAGGCTGGCCCCAAAGGCTGCCTAACCCACATAATCGCATTTGTCATGTAAAATGGACCATAAAACATGTATCACACGACACATTCATATTGTGACCCCCGGTGACCTGACCTCGCTGTGACCTGACCTGGTATCAGTGACCTCAGATAGCAAAACGAACAATGTACCATCGATGGTTTTCAATAAATTACCAATTTACTCGCTTTCACAGCACATTTCTTGAATTGCCTGTGAACGGTGAAAATCTGACCTTTGACCTGACCTGTGACGTCATCGGTTTGACCTAGGTCAATGAAATTTGGTCACAAGGTAGTTCCCAGGTGGGGCTATCGAACGCCGTTTGAGTTTTGAAAATCGGCCGGTAACTTTCCGAGATCTTAGGGGGGGGCGAAACGCCCCCCCCCCCCCTACGGGTGGTAGGGTCCGCCGGTAGCCCTACGGGGCGCGGGTTAAAACATTTATCTTTACGCACTACTTACAGCTATTGAGCACTATTATTTATCTGATAACACACGAATCAGTTACATGCTTACCAATGCATTTATGCAGAATGTCTTATGCAAAATGCATACCAACATTCTTCTTAGCGAAGCATCAGCATTGTGCTTTGATGCCGCTACTTGGACTCAAGTCAAATAAACAACGTTTTGGGTCCAGCTATTTTCTCCGGTAAAATATTACCCATAATCTGAGTTTTTAAATTTGTTGGATGGCATTGGCGAAAATTGCAAGATTCATAAAGATGAGATGAAATTCATTTTCAAAGTAAACAATTATCCTTTTCATAAGCTACATAAATCTGCCGCTTTGTGTAACTTATTAGACTACAAAAAAATTGAATGCATCTTGCATGCGATTGAGTGCATGAATGAAAGAATAAACACGGAAACGTGATACACTTCATCAGTGCAAGTGACTCACACGTCGCACAATACCATACGCCCTCCCAACGCAGTAACTCAGTAACTCAGTAACTCACCTGAGTTTCGCTCCGCTACGTTTCCCCACTCCCCGCTCCACCGCGCTCGTCCGTCAAGTGGCGTTGAAGTCTCCGGCCGCAGCGCCGCCTGGCGCGTGCTCTGTACCGTCGAGCACCGCCCCCGGCCGGCTGCGCTTCCAGTCACGTGACCGCTGACGTCACAGAGGGGACCGGCGCTTCTGGTTCTATGCGATAATGGGGGCTTAGAGAGGATTTACTGAGAGTGTGCTTAGGACTTAGGTACGACTAAGAAAAACGATACTACGTTTTATAGAAATGACGCAAGGCACTTGTAAAACGTAACACGATGTTTTGTCTTGCAATTGCAAAATAGGATGCTCTCCCTTCCGAGAGATGTTTTAGCTGATCAACCCTATAGCCTTCGATCAGCCTCTAGCCGTTAGTTGGTTTTTATCGATGCCTTTTCGTAAGCGAAAGGTCTAAGCTTCAGTGTTCTCGGATAAGTGGATCTAAGATGTAGTTTTCTGACAATACAGAGCTGAGAAACCATTAAAATTGGTCAATTGAACGCCAGCAGATTGCGACCTAAATCCAGTTTATCATGAACTCCACAGTTATTCTCATGACTGAGCTACTTTGTATGCACCTTTTACATCCTAGAGACCACCATATCCTCACGGGCCCTGAATACCTATACGAGCAAGTAAATGCGTATCTGGAACGGATTCTTCTATTCGCTCAGCGCTGTGCTCCGGTTGTAATAGCATTTATTCTGCTCATGTATCCCCGGTCAATAGGTATGTGACACTAGCTGTCAAGTGACGGCAGCAAGCCGCACTTCTTCGCCTGCATTTAACGTCAACACACTTCCAGGGAACCGACATAAAATCACCATATTGTCTACCATGAAGTGGTCAGTGTCCTCACGCCAGGAGACCCTTCCCACCAGTCCAACCGGTTATAGTCAGGCGATAGCTGGACATGCGACAACGCTAGTGGGCCTCTTTGAATTGCTAGTTAAAATTATTTATATTTTCTAGGATATGGATCTGGATGCACATTGTACTGTGCGCACTGCGCACCACATGTGGTGTCTCACTCATAAAATGTTTGCTACGTGTACCTATAGGCTGCATTGCTTCGGGTCTACCCTCATATTTATCACATACATAAATGTAATGATTTATGAAAGTCGTAGGTATAGGTCGACTCTCGCCGGGCAAAAGCAATCTTCCTATCGCGTTATGCAGCCGGAGAGGCATTACTATGACTTTCATCTCTCTCCGTTTTATGTGCCTAGCAGGAAAACTTTTCGAGAGTTCAGTTCAAACGTCGTGTATGACGACGCGTGTTGTTTGATATTTGATTCAATTCAACTCAACTCTTTTATGTTTGACACTTAGGTATTCAACACCATATCCTCATTTCTGGATCGATCGAGCCCGACATCTCACAGATGATGAATACCACGTAGATTATACCACGGTCGGAAAAAAATGCATAACGTTTCTCAAAGCGACTATATTGTCATTCAAATCAAACATAGAATAATACAAATTACGATACAGTTCGTATGCGCAGTGACTAAACAAATACAACTGAAATACAGGTTACAGTCACGCGACATGACATTGAGATCAAAGCGAGCATTCCTCTTCAATATACAAAGATACACACCAACACATAGAGGACAAAACAAACGACATAAAAGCATAACCCACGGCCGATGTGCATCAGATGTAGGCTTAAATCGAGTTAAGCACAACTCTGATGCTATAGACGATAGTGAAGTCTGCTTTTCACCTAATATAAGATAAATTTATAATATTTTTTGTTCTCACTAGCCTTAAACTAGCCAATTTTGGCGATCATTTTTTGGCACCTTGTAAAAAGCTTCGTTGAAATTTTAGGCATCACACGTGCTAACGAATAACTCTGATACTCAAAGTTGGCATTTCACACTTTGATAATGTAAGGGCTCCGTGGAATATACAATGAAATTGTGTGGCTAATTCGTGCATGTATACAGACGTATCAATAATATGCATGCCAAATTAAATAAGACGTATGCTTAACCAGTTTCCGACATCACTTAAAAGTGCACAAGCTTTCGCTCTAGCTCTTTCAGCCACAAAATCACATGACGAATATGAAACATGAATGTAAGTGCAAATGCAAATCTATGAAGTACGGACGTTTAGCCGGAGTTCTGGATCTAACCTTCACGTTGATCCAGAATCACTCCCACTGCTAACACTCATCGAAAAGTTGGCGGAGTCTCGCTTGCTCCCGCTGGTATTCAGCTGATTGATAACCCCGATTGACCGCGGACTGCGCATGCGTGGCATATCGCCAAGAGCATTTATCCTCTCGGCATCCTCATATAACCTCAGAGGGGAGGGAGGGGGAGGCAGCATCGACGGAGGAGGCGGCGGAAGATGATTCAACGCCGTCTCCGCAATCGTCGGCTCCGGCGGAGAAAACGCCGAATTCGCGGAGGGCATTTGAGCCCGCGGAGGCGGCGGCGACTCCCCGATCACAGTCGTCCGCAGGTCAAACGCGACCTTCGGCTCGGTGTTAGCGATCCGCCTGCCACCTGCCGACCGATTGCGGAAGCTGAAACTGCGCTGCGGTCCGTCGGCGGCGCGCGGGAGGGCTTCGAAGCTGTTGGCTCGACGGACTGGGGGAGGAGGGAGCTCCGCGCGAGCCATGTAGACGCTCTCTGGAGGCGGCCGGATGGCGTAGCGGTGAGGCAGCAGGGGCTGCCGGGATGCTCCGTGGCCGTCGCAGGCAGCTGCACGACGCAGCTGAAACGAGAACAAAACGTGGTCAGGTACCTACTTGGCGGCATGATGCTGAGCAACGATCAGCGCAAGATCAAGAAAAAGGCCCATGAAATCGTTACGAATGATTGGTTAATGACGTTGATGACTGTATTTCTAAGCTTGGCTGTTTCTCTGGGCATATCGTCGAGCTTTGTCACGTGAGGCAGACATCGTAGAGCATAAACAAGCGAAGGACTTCTTCAAAGACGTCGAGGCTAGTTGCGAGTCAAGTCAAGTTCGTCACCATGCGACATGAATGATGATTCTACTAAGGCAATGATGAAAAGAAATGCAGCAAGCTTTACACTGAAATGACTGAGCCCAGTAGCTCCTCGTTTTTAAACAACATTCTCGTCAGTTGTCTACACCCCAGTGGAGCATGCCTACATTGTTTCGTTGTGCTCACCTGTTGCTGGCTTTTGTAGAGAGACGCGTACTCTCCATCCTCCGGCTGGTGGTACATCGGCGACCGCTCACGACCGTCCTCGGTGGGTACGGCCTGGTACCCTCCGCATCTGAGGAAGACAGACGAAAAGAACGTCAGATCGACGGTTCGACGAACACGAAAGAAAGGGGGACGCACAGAGACGAACGTAGATGTCATCAGGTTGCCATAAGAAAAGCTAACATCTCAGAAAGGTAGCGATATGACTGATGATAGGGGCAGACTTGTGACTGAGGCTAAACAGTAACGTTTTTTTTTTGGGTTAGGCCCTTTCGGTCCAATTAGACCATTTCAGAGCCGGAAGGATGATAGGAATTAGGGGGAGACATTGGTCTGGGCAGGCACCCTAGTGAGTCGCCGGGGCTGAGCCCGTCCAGAGGACAGGCCACCCAGCCCCAAGGCACTCACTGCACCCGGCTACGGGGTGCGCTCCCTCGGGAGCAGCGGTGCCGCTCCAAGGGAGCAGCCCGCATGAGATAAAGTTGCCTGTCCAGCCCGGAGGGGGGTTGCGGCGTGGAGGAGAAGGATTTCAGTATCCTGAGGATAGAAGCACGGAACGGTGAACAGTAACGTGAACATTGTGTCGAGAGTATTGCGCACGTTTAGCACTTAACGTTTCGTTCACTGGTATCCGTGTACCGCTAGCTGAGAAAGGCCACTTTTTAAGAAAGTGCGTCCTTCCTCAAGAGAAAAGTTCCTCTAAGTAATCGCCCAAGAGCTCATCCCACTAACTCACCTCCTGAAGGATCCTTCTCGCTCGAAGGTGACCCGCGACCGTCTCTGCTGTGGGTGACGCGGTAGCTGGACGTATCGCTCCTCCTCTTCCTCTTCAGCTTCCCGAGCCTGCCGCCTCGCTGCCGCAGTCTGACGTCCGGACGCTGCATGTAGCGGCGCCATGGGAACCGCCTTCGATGGTCCACATTTTCGCGTGGCGACGCCCAAGATCAGATTCTGCGCCATGGGTTCGGTGACAGAGAACGCTCCACTGTTGCCAACCACGAGAAGTGGTGTGGCTTCGCCACGCTCACGACGAAGGGCTACCTCATGTACGAGGTGAACATGAGGAGCATCCGGTACGGCGACTCGAGCAGCTTCCACTTTCAGCTTGAACTGCCAGCGGTGGCGAAGAGTCAACGCCAGCCATAGCAGAACCCAGAGAAAGTGATGGGCGATGGCTCCAATGACTGCTACAAGACAGGCGGGGTCGAGGGATGCACGGTAGACAGCGCTAAGTTCGTACAGAAGAGGTCCATCGGCTACTCCCACAGCCAGTAGGAGACACAGTGCTGCACTGTGTGAGAAGTATCCCCAGAGACGACAGCGCGACTCCGCCAGTTCGGGAAGTTCGCGACGGTAGGTGGCCACGAAGGCCGCCAGTTTCTGGAAGCCGTAGAGGTAGACCGTAGCGCCAGAGATGAGCACTAACACGCTTGAGAGACCGAAGAGTAGAGCTGTTAGTGGAGCGTTCAGCAGAAGAGGGTCCGGTAGACGCAGCAGTTCGGCTCCACCATATACGTGGATCTTGTAAAGCACAGAGAACCCACACAGCGACAGCAGCAGATGTGCTCCGCTCAGTAGCAGCTGTACTGAGAACACAGCTGCCAGAGCACGCTGGGTGTCCCAGAACACAGCTGCGTATCGGATGGCGAGCACGAGAAGAGCTCCAGCCAGGTGTAGGGTCTGGGGGCTGACCAGGAGGGTGGCGGGTTGGCGCACGAATCCGCTCACAGGGTCGAGAACGAGGGCTGGAGGTGGCGCTGTGGCCACGACGGTCATGTTGGCTCGTTCTGCACCGAACTGGAGAGGCAGAACGCGAGTCTGAAGGTCCAGAAAGGCGTCCAGATCGGAGCGCCATACG